CCATTTTGATTAACCTTTTAATCCCAGACCAAAGAGTGCGTGTAATATCTTAAAACACAAAACTTTGGGAGACTCTGATCTCCGGAGGCTTAGAACTCATTGGAAAATGTATAAAGTTCCATCCTAATCGAGCCACGGCAGCTGTGCCACTGCATCGAGGAATCTGCGTGAATCGTATTGGCAATTGAATTGCTCACAAAGGAGGGAATTACATATTTATACTTTGCCAACTATAAAGAGAGGCAGTCAAAAAAAAAAACGCTCCCTTCATGCCGTTGTTTGGAAGTCGACCACAGATGTTTAAAGGGTTCAATTCCCAAAGCTGGGCGACAACCAACTGTTTGCAATCGCGCTGCGTTTTATCAGGTTTTTGAACCAGTTTAGTCGGTTGCAGATCTCGTCCAATGCCCTCATTCTGGTGGGAGAGATGTGGAAAGGAATAATCAATAATAATAATAAGCCTTGCATTTGATATAGCAACTTATCACGTCTTCGAGACATCTCAAAGCGCTTCACAGCGTATAATGTAAATAGAATTGACTGTAGATTTTTTTGGTTCATAATAATAATGGTGCATTCGATGTACAGAAGCGCCTTTCACATCGGGAGGACATCTCAAAGCGCTTCACAGGGTTCGAAGTAAAATGTAGTGACTGCCTTTCCTAGGTGGTTGCAGCAGCCAATTTGCGCACAGCAATATTCAACCCACAGACAGCCATGAAACGCACAATCAATTTTGTTTCACACTGAACCTAAACCCTGGACTCCTCCTGCTTTCTCCTCCTCTCCTCACTTGCCCACATCACGAGTTAAAAATCAAACAAAACACGGATTTAAAAAAAACCTCTCCGAACGTTGCGCTGTTTTTTACTTCTTCAGAGTTAATATGAACAGTTGATTTGAAAAAAATTATGGATGCCTGCTCCCCTCGCTTAGAAATGTTACGATGGCACAAGGTTCAAATATAAAAGGCAGACAACACAAATACTGCTCTCTATCACTTATACCAGCACCGTTCCCTGGTAATGAACCACCAGGTCTGGGCTTGTTAGTCCTGCGTGGAGCAGAAATCTCATCATGCCGCCTTTTATCATCAAAGAGAAGTGTAATTTTTGATTTCCTACAGTCAGTCATGTGGAATTTGACATTTTCAAATAGCGTTGGAGATGGGAGGGTTAAACCTACCTGTTTTGGTTATAATGTGAGCGTTTATTTTATTTTATTGTTTCCTTCAAGACCCCTCTTCGACCGTGCGTTCGATCAACCTGCTTAACCCCCTGCCCTCCACTCTCCCCGATCCCGACCCCCAGCTCAGGTCTGAAACTCTGACTGTCCAGAGCCTTGGGATGTCCTCCCGTCGTGAAAAGTGCTATACAAATGTAACTTTGTTGTTGTTGTTAAAAAGCAAGCGTTCGATGGACTTGAAGAGAGATCTATCTGGAAATAATATGAGGCCCCACGTGCATGAAGATTTTTTTTACAGAAGGCAAACCCGTGTTTAATAATATTATTAATAATAAATGTTTGTTCGTCCCTTTGATCTCCAACATTGTTGTATTGTGTGCGCGTGTCTACGTTTGTGTGGGTTGAGAGATGATTTTCTCTTGCATTTGAGATGTTAAATGCAAGCACTTCATCCACAGTTATGCTAATAATAATTATCAGAATTACAATACAGGACAAAATTACATTTGTATTGTGCCTTTCACATCGTGAGGACGTCCCAAGGTGCTGAACAGTCAGGAATTAATCATAATAGTAACTCTTTCATTTGATATTTAATTTAATTCACATTATCGAAATATCTCAAAGCATTTCACAGGATTTACTGTAAAAAGGAGGGACTTTATTGGGAAAGTCAGTCAGTACTTTGGTTTAATGTATCATCTGAAGGAGGGCACCACAGACAATGCAAGTATCCTGGTAATCCGAAGAATATTAATATATTAAAATGGCTTGAGTCAAAGTGTAAATGAATATTTTTGATGTGTGAACAAACCTCAGTGAACACTTTCTGTGACTTCTTTCAAAAATCCTTCACGTGAACAATATTATTCTGTTTTGTATTTGAGTTCATTTCAACCCTGGCATTTAATTAAAAAAACAAAGGACCTTGGATACATTTGTGCTCATGTAACTGAACCTCCTCAGCTACAACAACCATGGTATAATGATTAAGTATGGATCCAAGCTGGTTTTATCAAGGGGGAGCAGGAACTATTGCATTGGACCACTGATGCTCTATTCAGCAGAACAGAAAGCAAGGTCTTTATCAATCTTTCTTTGGTCATACAAATTGCACAGATAAAAATTGCAGTGGTGTGTCAGAATGCAATGCACACACTCTCCCCAAAGGCACGCATCCTAATCCCAGTAGGTTTTAGCCAGAGCCAGGGTTTGGGGACCCCAGAGTGTGCGGTGGGGTAACTGCTGGAGTTTAAACCAACTAACACCGCTTAGCTTCCCAATCTGAGCACTGCAGTGACAAGCATCCTGCTGCTTTTCTGGCTAGGACCATACTCGTGGCTTTGGATTTTAGGGATAAGAGGAGCAGAGTGGCAACGCATGGAATTCTGTTTGGGTTGGATACGGTGGTGGGTTTCCACATGTATTGGACACTTGAGCTGAATAAAAAACAAGTTCCACACTGGTGCCAAGTTTACTAAGATCCATCTGCTGAGTATGGCAACATATGCCATTGACTCAAATTACATGGGCTACACACAACCATTAAAAGGTAATTGGCTGCCTTCAGAGCAGTTATCACCATTTGGGGGGGGGCAAAGCAGATTTCCTTTTTAATTCATGACTGTATGAAATTTATATAGAAGAACGTACAAGCAAAGCAATTGTCACGTGGTTAACCTTTCTAAATCCACACTACGCACATTACCGTTGGGTTATTTTCTCCCTGAATCTCAGAATTTACAGTAGAGAACAAACCTCGCAGTTTAGAGCAGGCATGCCACACACTTCAATTAGTGAGTTGATAACATGCGCAAGCCTGGTGTATTGTCTCAATCTCTGACAGACTCGGAGATCAGTTTTTCTTGGCGCAAGTCCCGATTATAAATAAATCCTGGAAACAAATCTGTTTTTCAATTTCTGAGATAATGATAAAAATCTTTATTTGTGATATAGCGCCTTATCACACCGTCGGAATGTCTCAAAGAGCTTCACTGGATTCGCTATAAGACGTGTATTGTGTGTTTTGCAGGCAAATGGGAGAGTCGATTTGCACATAGCAATGACCCACAAACAGCAATGAAGCGTATGATCAATGTTAGCTGTTTGTTGACGACCTAGCAAGATGACTGAATCCTGGGCGTTGGAAAGCTTTATTAGTGGTAATTACTAATGAAATGTAGATTCACAATGGATTGTAGAAATATCATGGCTACCATTTCAAAGAGATCCGTGCCGTTGAATGTAATATTGTTTTAAACTAGTGGAGTTCAGATGTGAAGAGGGAGAATCCTATTCAAATACATGCTTTGAGTTTGTTGTATTTAACGCTTCTCCATTTGATTTCCCTCTGATTTAATGTGCTCCCCGCCATTAATGGCAGTCTTGTCGTCTTGTGTGTGATCCAGTTCTAATTACTAGGGTCTCATTCCCTGTGGTATCTATTTAACGATTTTAATCACAGCTATTTTTCCTTGCGTTCTTATTCTCAAGTGTATTGTCATTGAATACCCTATGTGTTTATACAGTATATATATGTGGGTGCAGAACACTTGGATCACAATCCAACACACTGAGATAATGGTAAGAGTTATCTTCATTAATATGTTTGATTTATAAAGCAATTCATGTTGCTGCAATTGGCAGTAACGGGTATATAAATCCATTGAAGAAAAACCTGTTTGTTTCAGACTTATTAGATGTTTTCTAAGCACGTCTAAATCTAAAACTAGGACCTGTACGCAAATTTAGATCTCTCGGAGGTAAAAAATACAGAGGGGTTTAATTCAGTAACGCTACAATTACATTTAATAAAAAGGATTTAAACGTTGAAATAAATGACTAGTTTCATTAACGTTACAGCTTCTTCCCAGAGTGGGTGAAATGATAATTTCTTGTGGTGTAGTGGGAACTGAAGAGATAACCACGACTATCAAAACAGGGAAGGAAGAGAGAGAGAGTGAAATAAAAATGAGACTCAGACGGTCCAAAACCATCTTGAGATGGTGTGGCAAAAAAAATAAAAATAATAATAATAATAATCCTTGCATTTGATATCGCGCCTTATCACGTCTTTGAGACGTCTCAAAGCGTTTCACAAAATATACTGTAAAGTAAATTGACTATATATTTTGGGCGTCTGGATTAAATGATCTGGCAAACTAGTGGAACAGGTTTAGACGGCCTGAATGATAATCTCCTACTTATTCTTTCTATCTAACGTGCCAGAATTGCCCCTTTATTCCATGAGCTGTGACTACACTTGCGTTTAAAACTATCTGCAGAAAGAGAGTAAAGGTAGAAAGTCACCACAAGGTACGGATGGAGAAAAGATCTTACTCATAGATGCAATTTTTGGAATTAACTTAGACACCAAAACAACGAGCCTTCAACAGCGGGTGGAAACGTGGGCAAGAGGGAAGCACAAGAAACATGTCAGACAAGATTTAAAACTCAGAAAAAAAGCCAGAACAGGAGTCGGAATCAGCGACAGAGAAAAGCCGAAAGATTAAAACAGGATCGATTTACAGTTGCAAAGAGTTCTGATTGCCATTGATGTACTGAACAACGCCATTTGCAACAGTAATAATAATTACATTTGATGTAGCGCTTCTCACGTCGGGAGGACATTTTCAAAGCGCTTCGAAGGCTTCACCTGATACACTGTAAAGCGTAGTGACTGTGTGTTTTGCAGGCAAACTTCTGAACAAGGTGACGATTTATTTTTGTGCATCCGAGACCAGCCCCGGAGGAAAAATCCACCAGACAAACAACCCATCCCAACCCGTTGCACAGGCACGAGCGAGTGGGGCGTGATGGAAGGCAGGAGTGCGATAAAAGGTACATTGTACCTCCTCTTAACGGTACTCGGAATCCCAGGTAATCTGACCATCATCTCGTCCTTTGTGCACATTGCGCAGCACGATCGCAGACTGCACCCGGCCGATAAAATCGTGGGCAACCTGGCCTTGGTGAACCTCGCCGTCGTGTTGGTCAGATGCGTCCCAGAGACCACGGCGGCCTTCGGACTCGAGCAACTCTTTGACGATAACGGCTGCAAGATCGTCATATTCATCTACAGGACCACCAGGTCTCTGTCCATCTGGCTGACCTTCCTGCTGAGCGGCTTTCAGGGAATCACGCTCGCTCCGTCCACCCCCAAGTGGTCCATCGCCAAACGCCTGGCGCCCAGATGCCTCCCCGGTGCCCTTGCCCTCCTGTGGCTCCTCAACATGTGCCTCAGCACCTCGGCCATCTTGTTTTCCATCTCCTCGGGCAATAACTCCACCAGGAAGAAGTTCGCCGTGAACCTCGAATACTGCTTGGTCAAGTTCCCCTCACGGGCTGTGAAGATCGCCATCGGAGCCCTGCAGACCTCCAGAGACGTCATCCCCATCGCCCTCATGATCCTCGCCAGCGCGTACATATTGCTGATCCTCTACAAGCATCACCAGCAAGTCAAAGGCCTTAGGAGCTCCAGCAAAGGTCAGAAGTCCTCTGCCGAGACCAGGGCGGCCAAGGCTGTGTTGACCCTCGTCACGTTGTACGTCCTCTTCTTTGGCATTGATAACATCATGTGGGTTTACACCTTGACGGTGGCTGAGACCATGCAGACCTCGGTCACCTCAGACATAAGGGTCTTCTTTTCCTCGCTGTACGCGTCGGTCAGCCCGATTGTAATCATCGCGTCCAACAAGAAAATCCAGAACAAGATGAAGTGCACAAAGGCAAAGCCGGAGATGGAAGCTTCGGAAACTGTTCCTTCCCACAATTGAAAAGCCAACGGATCAAACCCTTCCCATCTCTCTTTTTTCCTTGTGGCTTCCTGTAGCGTACTGGTTAGAGCGCTCGCCTCGCAGGCGAGAGGACCCGGGTTCGATTCCCGGCCGGGGCGAAATCTTAGGCAAGTTTCCTTTACTCCACACGTCACTGTTTACCTAGCAGTAAGTAGGAACCTGGTTGTTAGTCGACTGACGGATCGCTTTCCGGGGGTAATAATCCCTTCAAAAACAATAAATAAATAGAACGTAATAATAATAATTGATCACTCTATTTAGGATTGTTTGTGGGACACTGCTGTGCGCAATTGCCTGCCCCGTTTCACTCACAAAATATGCAGTCATTTCACTTTACAGTGTATTCTGTGAAGCGCTTTGAGACGTCTCAATGACGTGATAAGAATTATTATTATTAAAAGATGCAAACCTTTGCCTCTGACACGTTTCAGCTTTGACATAAACATTAAATAAATGCGTGTTCTTCACAATGGAGCCTGGAGGATTTGCACGGATGCGTAGCTGTTGCTTGGGTTCAAGTCCTGAAAGTGCTGCCCTTGCCTTGACCTTTAAGACCACTTTGTCTTAAGATTTAAGATCATGCAGAAACGCGGCAAAAATAACGAAATTCCCTCTTTGTTCGGAAGCCCTGATAAAAAGACAGAAGAATTCAGCTTACGATGCTGTCAATGCATACAAAACACTCATTTCTCAGTAGCATCCCCTTCTACATGGCAGCTGCTGTGGCTTTTGTTACTATAAACTGGATTAATGTTTCAATTCACATTTGGCTTTTGCGCCACTCTACACTGTGCCAAAGCCAATATTGAATCAACTGGGCTCCGTAACATAGGCTGGAGATGAGTGCATTCAACATCTCACTGGAATAAGCACTGGGGATCATTGGCGAGCTGTAAAATTCTCTGCTTGTAATAAACAATTAATCTGCATTATATCCATCAAGATGTGTGTGGGGTTGTTTGTTTGATTCAGTCGTGCTTACGGTCAACCTCCTCCCTTTCCCCCCAGCTCGGCGTCAGGCTCTTAAGTGCTCCGACGCGCTGAAGGGTGCTATATAAATGGAAGTTGTTGTTGTTGTTGTTGTTGTTGATGATGATGATTCTATTGATGCTGTGAAGGGACAATGGTTTCCGTGGGTTATTCTGAAACAATGAGATCAAATGGGCTAAAGGGAGTTCTTCATCTAAACCTTTCTTGTCATCTATTGCGTCCTTTATCTCCATGAAAGTGTGGAAATGTTTTGTTTACTTTTCACTTCCATTAGTTTAGCCAAACGTTTTCTACCACGTAAAAATCCAAAGGGAGTAAATAGTGCCGCCTAAAGCCCTATCTGTAACCTGCTGTTTCTGAGCAAAACTGTTGGAAATCATCGGATAATCCCAATCTGAGAGAAAGCATTAGCATTAACAAGTGTCTCAACAAGTGAACTGTCATTAACACTTCCCCACATTCTGTGCACGCAAACGAAATGTGACTTCCGCAGTAACATTACGACCAACAAAGAAACAGCTTCTTATGAAAGTAGAAAAATCAGGGTCCAAATTGCCACGATTGACATTAACACTGGTGATATTATCACAGCTTTGACCTGATAGTTTTGCTGAAATGCTTGTATTGTATAAAGAACTTCAGGAGGATATGGTCAGACAGCAAAAAGACTGATAATAAATCTTATTTTATGATAAATTTGTACCTATTATTTGAATTCTATTCATTTAGGCCCTATTCAGCACTGAAACATAACTCACCCGCTTATCTGTTGTAGAGCCCTGTAGAGAGTGAACTTTAATTTAATAAGAAAATGCTGTTGGTGAAAGTCACGCAAAGATTAAGTGCTTCAGACTACACTAAACTGCTGAGTAAACTAAAATTTCCCTACATTTAGAAAAAACAAATCTTGCGACTAGCAATCTAAAGGTTAACAAAGTCGCCAGAGATGAATGGGAATCTGGATCAGAAGCGATTAGTTTAGTCAGACTGTGCTGGAATTACATTTCTGCTTTTAAAGTTCAGATTTTGCCCTTTTAAAATGAGATCTTTCCAAAATTACCTTCTCATTAGATTTGCATCAATGGTTATAGTCTTGTGTTTTGAGTGTTGGCTGTGATGTAGAATATGTATGCTTGGGTGATAGGATAGCAGGGAAGAGAGAGAGAGAGTTTTTATACAGGTACAAATCCCTGAGTGAGTGTCAATTGCCTTTGCTGGCAGAATATTGGGCAGTAAAGTTTATCATCACAGTGTGAGTTACATATCTGTATCTGTTCCAGTAAGATTTGGTAGGGATTTATGGGCTCGAAGCATTTTAGATGATATTGGGGAGGTTCTACTGTGCCAAATTCTTGCTGAGTTAATGAAGGCTTAGTCTACGCTGAGCTCCAGTCAATGCCCACACTTGTTATTTATATTTTAGGAACCCCTTATAATGCATCACGTCATTTCAGCTCATAATTTAGGCTGACCATTCCAATGCAATGCTGGGGAGTGCTGCTGCATTGTCAGACGGGCCTTGCTTCAGCTGAGACGTTAAACCGAGACCGTCTTGGATGCTCAGGAGAACTATTTGAACAGAAAGGGAGTTTCTCCCGGTGTCCTGACCCGTAATGCCCCAGATCATTCACTTCACGGCTGTTTGTGGGACACTGCTGTGCGCAAAATTGGCTTCCGGCTTTGCCCTCAAATGCAGTGTCACGACACATTACAGTTCAATCCTCCGAAGTGCTTTGTGACGAGATTCTGTATCAAACGCAAAGACGCCTACTGTTATTATATAGGATATTATCAGACGTAGAAAAGTTCCGATCTTCGGAACGGTGAACACCCCTCACACTAACAAACACAAAAAAAAGGACTCGTGAGAGCAAAGTTGCTTTCTTTTAAAGAATGTTGGCCAAGAAACTGCAGCAGCGTGCAAGATAAACCCGAAAATGAACTGCTTTCCTGCAATTGTACAAATTGCAGTGATATGTTATTGCAACCTGAAATTAGCACTGGACAAGCGCTAATTACTTACAACTGAAGTTTCTTGTGCGTTGCACTGGATCAATCTGTCCCCTTAAAAGCAAGCTAACCATGGCAATAAGCAAGTAATTAGACAAAGCACAGGGTTCACAATTAGTTTTTGCCTCAGTTCATTAAAATGTGTTTATACTGCACGCAATGTAACAGAGCTCCAACTATTGACCAATAAATAAAATTGGTTATTCACTTACTTCATGGTTGTTAGTGGGACACGATGTTGTGCGCAATTTAGCTTCCGCATTTGCCTACAAAAATATAGTCACTGCACTTTACAGTATATCCAATTAATTAAAAACTCCACCGCCTAAAAACTCACGCCCTCTAAACTCTGTACCCCTATCACAGTGCTTGCCAGGCTCCACTGGCTCCGTATTACAGAACGGATCGACTTCAAGATCCTCACTCTCGTGTTCAAATCCATTCACTCCCCGGCACCTCTCTATCTCTCCGACCTCCTCATTCCCCGATCCACCACCCGGCACCTCCGCTCGACTGGCACCGGTCTCTTGCTCGCCCCTCGCACTCTCTGCCCCACCGTCGGAGGTCGCGCTTTCAGTCACTTCGCCCCAAAGCTCTGGAACACTCTCCCTCAATCCCTCTGCCTTGGCCCCTCTCTTTCAAGTCCCGCCTGAAAACTTTCCCCTTCAACTGTGCTTACGGCTACCTCCCCCCCGACTCGGAGTCAGGCTCCGCCACTGTTAAGTGCTCGGAGATGCTACACTGCGTAGATGGTGCTATATAAGTGCAAGTTGTTGTTGTTGTTGATGTCCCTCATCCCTTCTGCTCTACCATCGGCAGCCGTGGTTTCAACCACTAAACCCAGAAACTTTGGAACTCATTCCATCAATCCCTCTGCCTTGCCCCCCCTTCAGCTCTTGCAAATTACACCTGAGGACCGTCCTATTCACCAACACCCACATGGTAATAGATTGACAACTAACTTCAGCGCTGACCTGAATAAATGAAACATCAAACAGGTTTTTGATTTCTCTCTCTTGTGTCCATCAATCTTTCAATACAATTTAATTTTATATAGTATCTTTCACGTCGGGAGGACGTCCCGAAGCGCTTGAAAGCCTCATATATATATAATAATAATAATAATCCTTGCATTTGATATAGCGCTTTTCACATCTTCTCGTCGTCTCAAAACGCTTCACACAATAGGCTGTAAAGTGAATTGGCTGTATATTTGTGGGTGAAATGCGGTAGCCAATTGCGCACAGCAGGTTCCCACAAACAGTCGTGGATTCAAGCAACTGATTTATTATTTTTTTTTCTTGAGGGATTATTATCAGGCAGGTGGAGTAAGGAAACTTGCCGAGGGTTTTGACCTGCCGGGAATCGAACCCAGGTCTCTCGCTTGCGAGGCGAGTGCTCTAACCACTGAGCTACAGGACTCCTACACTGGCAATAGAATCTTAACAAATGATTGATATGTTTTTACAAACTTTCTTTCAGGTCATAAAACCCAAAGCTTGAAATTGTCACATTGGGTGTTTTCGGTACAATTCGCACAAATGTAATTTTTTAATGGACATCATGGTTGAAGCTTGTTGACATCCAAATGGCTTTGTGAGAGAAATGGACATGGATAACTCTATTATTGCAATGTAACAGCAATACTCTCGGAAAAGCAAGAGGATTTTTTTTTCCCCCTTCAGCAAAGCACATTTAATTATTCATACAGTGGCTGAAGGTTTATGTTCTTCTCCCAAGGCAAAAATGTGCTTTTTCAGCATGTAAAGCACTCTCCATTCTGTTAGCAGGGAGACTGGTTTCAAGCTCCCTGGTGCATTTTATAGTGATTAATCACAGTCTGGGTATGAGCACCTGGAGCCAAACTTCTTCATATCCACCGGTAGGGTTCATTACAGTTTTTGTTTCAGTACAAAATTCAATTATAGCCTGAGTTAAAAAGGAACATTATAACAATGCTCAAGTTACTCTTGAGTCGTTGCGTGTAACAGAGGATCAAGGCAAGACTGTCAATTGTAACTCTGTCGTTTCACCTAGGGGACTTGGAATGAAATTTTTCCAGAATGATGGCTTCTCTGTTTCTGGCAATCGTAAGGTTCATCTTTGAAACAACTTTGAGCCGCCTCAGCGCAGCTTCTGTTGGGATCAGATTCCCAGCTCAAACAACAACCACAACAACTTGCATTTACGCAGTGGGCTAAGCTTTTTGGAGCGCTGGAAATGGATTAGAATTGTAACGGCTGCTATCACAGAGAAAGACGGTTCATTTAAGAGATGGGAAGTAAAAAGAGGTGGTAAGAGCAGTCTTTTCTCAGGCTGGATTAACCCTTTTATTCACCTCTCTGTTGGGGGTCTTTGACGGGGTAACTCATTTCGGCTCCTCACATGCTCAGTTTGGTTCAATGTTAATATCAAACACACAGATGTCTTATTAAGTCACCACATCATTTACCAATCATTGGAAAATCTTCAGTCATCGGCAAACAAAAACTTCTTAAATACCCAAATGGTAGCACGGAGTCAAAGATAAAAGAAAGCTAAGGTATAAGCATGAAGCAGAATGGAGAATAAGTTATAACAGAATGGGGCGGGGGGGGGGGGGGTGGACAAGAATGGACATGGAAGACAGCAGGAAGCTGTAACATTTTTAATTCCAATTTATTTGATATCATTTTTGTAAATTGGATTAATAATAGTTACAAAGGGGCGCTTAAACATTTCTGTTTTTATTGCAAAATCACAGCGCATCGGATAAGAGCATGGATAGCTTGAAGCACACGTCCTTTTTGTTTTGCTCTAGGATTGAGTACCAAGGTTTGACATGCGTAGGATATCCCTTTAAGAAGTCAGAGGCAATTAAGAAAGAGCTCATGCAAATACAAGCAGGAAGTATAAAAGGATCCTAGGCAGGGCATCATAGGATGATGGTTGGAGAGTTAAGATTAAAGGAGTTACTTAATACACCAGTGTTGTGGATTGAGCATCATTACAAAATGGATTCTCAAAGCCATTCTGCCTTTCCTGCAACTTCTGACATGGATCCAACATTACAACTCCTGGAATGGTGTAGAATTGAAGTCTGCCTTTTTTCAATTTCCCTTCAATTTAGATTTGAGACACCAATTGGCTGCCTCTGGATAAATTTCCTGTTCACCTTGCAAAAAGACTGAGCCACACCCTTCTCACTGTCATTGTGGCTTGAGATGCATTTGGTGAGAACTGATGTAAAATGGTTCTACCTGAGCCTAGATTGCCTTGAGTTCTTTTTAAGATCTACAGAAAACCAACTTCATGTTTTGAGACTGAATTGAAGAACTCGCCAAATTCTGGTCGCTCTCAAACGTTAAGAAAATAGATCCAGGTGGCCCTTCTCCATCTCTGTCCTCCGCAAATGAGAATAAAATGATCAATCACTGAAACTAGTGGGCAATCAAGATTTTCAATAAAAATGTTTCCCATGATATACTAGTGTTGGGATTACAGCATTGGGAACTTGCAAAGTAATTTTGAGTGCCACTCGATAGAAGACGTCTGTTCGAATCAAGTAAGTAAAAAAACAGTCGATTTAATCACAATTAATAACTGGTGTTGAGCTTTTACGGAAATACAATAATATTTTACAATTTCTCTCCTGCGATTATATTGACATTATGCATTATCTGTTGGACTGCCGCTATATAAATTGACGTTTTCCACACATGTCCTTGTTAGGCTGTACAAAAAGCAGGGAAGTATTGCTTGACGGGTTTACATGGCTAGCCTTTGTAAGTCGTTTCATCGTCTGAAGAGTAGACTATCTGCCGGGTTGGTTTTCTTCTGCGTTTGACGCGGCAAAGCATGCTGGATCGACGCATCATCTCCACGCAGTCCCTCTCTGCTATTTTCACAATGAAGTACAGACTGATGCCACCTAGTACGGTCGAGCCCACAAACCCAAGAAGCACACCCCAGAGAACTGTCCTGAAGCCCTCCGTGAGGTTCCTGGGATAAGGAGGGTGCTTTTTCATCTCGATGATCAGTTCCAGTTCATCCCAGTTCTCTAGAACTGTTTAAAAAAAACAGAAGCACCAACAGATTAGCTTGTCATTGATCTATAATATATTATAATCCTTGTATTTGATATGGAGCCTTATCACATCTTCGAGACGTCTCAAAGCGCTTCACAGAATATACTGTAAAGTCAATTGATCTGTGGGTGATGCTGAAAGTGGTAAATACATATGACAGAGCAGTCAGTGGTAATGGTAAAAGAAAATACTTAATGTGGTATTTCAAAGAGTTCAAGTTCTTCTAAGATCTCCTTTGGAGACCACTTTCTTTCCGCACTGATGTCAGAGTGCAGTAGAGTAACCCTCAAGGGAAAATGACTTGGCTACAAGCTGGAGATAGACATACTTTTGGCCATCACTCCCAACATTTGACTGCTCTACCTTCACTGGTTAAGGCTTCCTATCTCCAATGTGCAGCTGGATGATTGAACCACTGCCAGCAAAATGTTTCACCTCCAGGGAGAGGAGAAGTGGGAAATCCTGCCAGGACCTATTGTGCCCTGCACATATATGATTGCAGAGCAGCACCAGTGGAGAATATCAGCTGCACGCAGTGGTAAGCTATCTTGCTTGAGCCGAGCATCGAAGCAAACCAGGGATTTGAAGCATCTCAAATTTCAGGGGAACAGATGTTGCCACTCCAAGTCTGAAGTTCTGTCATCTAAGATTTGAACCAGATTGAAATATTATTTTTTTAAATTTTTTATTTTTCTAAAATAGCATCTACAAATCCACCCATGTAGCATTATACCTCTGCAAGTGTCCTTTTTGGACTTAATAAAACCTAACGTTCTTTTTAACATAATGCCTTCTATCGTATCGGAAAAATCAGCCCGCTGCGTTATTTTTGTCCCCTCCACAAATTCATCTTTTTTTATAAAAAAAAAGGAATTTGAGTTTATTTGTGTGCTGGATTTCTGTACAAAATGACATGAGTTTTGTTTGGCTTTGCCTTATCTCTCCAGGCCACCCAAGGAGAAAATGAAACATTAAAAGAGGCAGCGGGTAACTTAATTCCCATTTGTCATGGCCACAACCTACTGTGTGTGACAATTATGTAGACAAATGTGCTGGATGTTCTTATTCGTGACATTTGTCAATTAGAATTAGAACGCTGAGTTTTATCACGTGCTTAAAACATCCGCAGTGTCGGATATCGTATCAGTATGTAAATTCAAAACAAGTCTACGGAAACGCTATTTCAGTGAGCGAGTAGTAAACCTGTGGAACAGGCTCCCTGGGGAGACGGTTAAAACAGGAAGTGTTGTTTCCTTCAAACACAGATTAGATGGTTTTCTTAGGAAATAACATTATGGGATATAGCGCATGGGTAGTTCGGGAGATATGTGCATACGACTTCAGGAAGGTGGAAGGCGAACTAGATGGACCTTGGTTTTTTTTGTCCAGCATTTCTTATGTTCTTATGATGCAGAGGCTACTTATTCAGTTTTATTTCTAACTTACAATTGCTGCGTTTTCCTCGGTTTCCGTTGATTTTAATCTCTTCATCGGTTAACACCAGCGAGGAGTGAGTTTTTGGACTTCCCTTGTTGTATTCTTCAATGTACTTCTTCACCTCCAAGGTCTTGTCTTGGTTTAAGTTCTTTCCCATTTCTAGGAAAAGACCAGGGATTGAGATACTAGGATTATTTGAGATTATTTATGTATTCTACTGAACGAATTGTTCTGCACCTGAAAATATGTGGATTGGAATCTACTTCATTGAGCTCTTGGAAATGTAATCCGATTTAATAATAATAATGAATAATAATAACTCTTGATTTTAATGTAGCACCTTATGTCGTTGAGACATCTCAAATCGCTTCACCGACTATATTGCAAAGTGAATTGACTGTATATTGTGTGGCCGAAACGTGGCAGCCAATTGTCTCACGAACAGTCAAGGCCAAATTTTTTTTACATTTAATTCTTGAACAGGAGGGCTCATTGCAAAACTCGGATGAGACTTCTTGCTTCATGGGAAGGCAGTACCGCTTTCCCAAATGGGATGTGATGGTGTCCATGAGGTTTTACCAGATGGTATATGATTAGAAGGGAATCATCGTCTATAGACTAGCTGCTACAGACTTAATTATCAAATTGTGGTTTACTTATAAGCGTCTGTTAATGAGTATTAATTATTGATTTGAAGGGATGAGAGTACCTCTGTCAACATCTGATCTGCCAATCTGACTCAGTGCTCGAGAAAGCCTGTCCCAGTACATAGTGTCTCCTTCTTTCTTCAGCCAGTCAATCAGAACGTTTCTGCATTCATCCACACTAACTGGGCATCAGAGATAAGAGGGAGATACAGAATAGATATCTTGTACCAATACAGCATTCAATTACATTTCATTTTCTGAAGTATTGAATCTGAAGTTCAATTCTGATTGAGTTCCACCTCGTTTCTGAAATGTAGTTTGCACTCAATGTTCAATCTCCGGGTGATTAAGATAGAGTTCATTATTGGTTGAACTCTGGCATAGCAAGATGGCTTGCATTGTCGCAGGAGGAATGAGACAGTGGTTACCTTTGGCCCGGACAGTGTGTGATTTGTACCTACCGATGGCTCTGCGTTGTCTGACCTTGAATAAATTGTCATTTTCCTCTGACATTTTATCAATAAGCTTCATAACGTTTTCCTCGGGGTGAGTGATTTTTCTGTGAAAAGCTTCGCATTCAGCAGGAGACAGCAATTCTGAGATCCGAGACATTTGGTGAATTCCAATATCATCAGCAGCTAAGGGAAAATAATTTGTACATTATCCATTAATCAGTGATACTGGGATCTGTGCGCAATTGGCTGCCGCGTTCGCCCACAAATATACAGTCAATTCACTTTACAGTATATTCTGTGAAGCGCTTTGGGACGTCCTCCAGACGTGAAAAGCGCTATATCAAATGCAAGGATTATTATTATTATTATTATCTGTATAACAGAGTGTGGAGTCCTGGAGCTCAGTGGTTAGAGCACTCGCCTCGCAAACGAGAGGACCTGGGTTCGATTCCCAGCAGGGCAAAAAGTTGGGCAAGTTTCCTTACTCCACATGCCCCTGTTTACCTAGCAGTAAGTGGGAACCCGGTTGTTAGTCGATTGGCGGATTGCTTATTACTTCTGAAATAGAGAAATAGAGAGTGCATCAGTGTGAAATGCCAAACACTGTACATTTGTAAATGAAGTCCACTGGACAGTAATGAACATGAAAGTCTGGCTTATAGTATTGTGGAGCTGCCTCAACCATAACATGGGACAAGGCTGTAAAGGATGACTTCTTTAGCATTGCCTCAACCACCCTCTTGTTATCCTGTAGCATAGTGGCTAGAGCACTCACTTCGCAAGTGAGAGGACCAGGGTTCAATTTCGGGGCAGGGCGAAACCTAACTCTACACTTCGGAGTATATTCTGTGAAGCGTTTTGAGACGTATCAATGACTTGATAAGTTGCTATATTACAGGCAAGGATTATTATTATTACAAGTGGGGAGAAATTTCATCGGGGTTGAGATGTATTTTATTTTTTCGGCATTTTTAAGGGCGTGTGCGAGAATTTGTCAAATTGCTGAATTGTGTCTCAGTTTTGAAGTCTGTTTTGTGTAGCTCTCTGAAGAAAGATGCTGGGGGGGAAAAAAAACTTTGTCTAAAAAGAAATGGCAAGCTTAAAAATGACTGCCAAATTCAACAATTTGCCAAATTCTGCATGTTGTATAAATTTAGGTTAAGCGTGAGTAAATCTACACGAGTAAATCTGGATCCAGGTGAAATTTCTCTCCAAAGTTTTCTTGCAGATCCTTGAGCCTTTACCAGCCTTCCCTGACATCTTACTGCTTACTTGTCTATGGATTGATTAGACACGATTGCTGAGGGAAAGGTTTGGGTGTTCATAAACTGGAGCATTTGCAATCCTTTTATAGCAAACGTGCACCTCACACTCTACCTTCTCCGTCAGAGTAATTGACTTGGTCTCGGTGCTGAATGCAACACACTATTTGTCCACTCACTGTCTTATTCTATCCATCTGTATCCGCTTGTACCTCCTGCCTTTCAGATGAACAACCTCTGTACCTATCTGAAATGCTGGAGCAAAAGTCTATTACTCACTTATGCTTGTGACACCGGTAAGTTATTAACCTATCGTTGTTAAATTGGTACAGTGTCCACATTTCACGATGACCTAACCTCACATCCACTTTAATATTGACTTGCTATAAAACATAGTGAATCCTCTATTTTCTGCTCGGCTTTAAAATGGAATTGATTCCCTGACAATACTGTGTAGCTGGAATTTACGAGGATAAAGTTTGCCGAATTATGTTAATTAACATAAGGAATGGGTTAAGGAACTAATGCAGATTTTAATTAATTTAGTGACTACTTTGTAGGTGAATGGGGTGGACAATTTGCGCACAGCAACGTCCCACAAACAGCTTTCTGTAGTTTTTTGAAGAGAGTATTTTACTGAACGACCCCTTAATCCGAAATGTTATAAAATACGATGTTGATTTGGTCACCACTGGCTTTTAATTGCCCTTTGCTGCAGTGATCTGGTTAAACAAGGTTGGGAGCAAAACTGCCCCGTGTACAACAACTTTGCACGCCAGAGCAAGGCTGGACTAGATTGCCTCCGAACAGCTGTTTAACACGGCAGCAACAGATAGACTGAAATATACGAGCGATTGTAAAAATAAATAAATAAATAAATAAATAAATAAGCTGCTTGTAAAACTGATGGAATTGTGTGGCCAATTGAGTGGGATGTACAAATTGCATATTCTCTCTCTCGTTAATTGTTAACCCACAATAGAATGTTGCTTGGTTGGTTGTATTCTGGAATATCTCAGTGGTTTAGTTGCTCTAAGTCATTTGTTGGATTTCCCCGATGGAACCACTTGATTTGTTTCTTGCTGTTATAGCAACGGAACGTGTGATCCCGAGACCGATATGAATTAAAACACCATTTTTAACGTCTAAACACATTTTTTGGGGGACCTCGAGTATATTAGCGAGTGTATTATAAGCCAGAATTGCAGTTGTACTGTGGGTTGCGTCCATCGCAGTGCACTGTTGGCGTCTGTGAAATTCAGTTATTGAATATCAATACAATTGTTATAAATCAATTCATTTGTTAATTATTCCATCTTTTTCTATATCAATTGCTGCCATTTACTGACCTCAATGGGTGCAAAATCGTGCAATCACCAGCACTTTTTCAGCCAGATAAAGATGTTGTGTCTCGAGTATTATCTATAACGGGGGGTCAGAGGTAATAAGCCAGACAATGCATCTCGTGTACTCGTCAAAAAGACAATTTTTTCTCTCTTGGATGTTTTTACAGTGGATATCAATCATTTAAGGAGAGCTTAATAATAACCTGTGTCCTCTGCGGAGCAGTCTCTGATGAAGAGAAATGCGTGTAATATCCCAAGTCCTGATGTCAACAGCATCTTGTGTGTAAAAACGCCCAAACTTTCTCAGAGTTTGGATTTAAATTCTGACTATTAGAATGTAGAACCGAACCACTTCACAATGATGAGTCTCGGCTTCTTATTTCTCCTGGGTCCTCGTGCCAGCTGGTTAGAACGCCACTGACTAAATCTTTGGTGTTAGCTGAACGAGTCACAATTCGGCTAACTCGGAAAAGAATCCTATGGGATTCAATGGGATTCCGCTCTGAGGTGACGTCCGGTGTGTAGGGCTCCTCTACGTAAATGCAAGTGGTTGCTGTTGTTCCTTCGGAGATGACCAAATTGTGACTCGGTTCAGGTACCTGGGGAAGAAAAAAATGCCATGTTTGAACCCAGGGGGAAATCCAAATCCCATCCGATCTACACTTGGAGACAAATTTCTATGCATCAACTGGGATTCTGATGGGATTATTTATCAAGGCCTATTAAAGTTATGAATTGCTGTGGATTTGACTCCAAAGTAGCACAAGATACCGGGTATAATGATTCAGGTGCAATTACTTGTGTGATAGTGCGGGCTGGGATGATTTAACTCCCCCACCCCCCGCCACCACCACCAAATTTGGACTCAGCAATGTCCCACAAATAGCTATGAAATGAATGATCAATTTTACTTGGCTAGGATACCAGGAAAAACTTCTTTTTTTTCCCTTTGTCTTTTTGACTAGAGGCTCTGACAATGCAGAATGCCTCAGTATTGCACTGAAGTGAGTGTCAGCCTGGACTGTATGAGTTCAAAGTCCCGATATCAATAACTGGCCTTTCAGAGAGCAGAGCAGAGTGGAGTGTGACACAGAGGAAACCTAAAGCACTGGAGCTTCTTTACCATGGGAGGGGATGGGCAAAATCTAATGTGGGCAAAGTGCTGGCAATGCAAGGAGTTTGGGAATAGAGATCATTTCGCACGAGGGTTTTACTGATGTCAGCGAAAAGACTTAGAATTACAGCCTTAAACTCACTCGATTTGAGTGTTGCAATTTATGCTGAATCATTTGTTTTTGTTAAGATCATTAGGTTGCAATTTGTCTGAGTGCTCTTGGATGACATTTATTAGGTGAAAGGCTAATAAAGCGGACTAGCTTTGTGCCTTAATGTCCCTGGGTCCTGTGTGATGGGTACTGCAGAATAAATAATGATTTTGCTGTGTTTCTCTCTCCTTCGATACTTTTCTCGCATTCCTTCTTGCTTTCAGCTGAAGTATAATGCCTTGCCTTAAAAGCAATGCTTATCTTTCACTCTTTTAATCATTCAGCCTCTCTGTTATCCAAAGTTATGTGTCTCCCACCCCCGTGCTTTTCATTTTGCTCCAACCCTGTAAGTAAAGGTGAAACAAGCCTTCCTTCACAAGTGGCCGAACAGGCACTAAAAATGGCTATTAAAGCAATTTGGAAAACAATCTCCTGCATATTTCAGTGGTATCGTTCTTGCTGGGGAATCATATTTGTAACATTAGGAAGCAAACCAGCTCAAAGCACAGCGTTTGTCCAATAATAAAAGCTGTGTCTTTGCTCTCAGAATATTTGAGTATCTGTTGGCAGCGCTCTCGCCTCTGGGTCAGAAGGTTGTGGGTTCAAGCCTCATGTCACAATATTGAATTCCTAGTCAAGGCTGACACTCCAGTGCAGTGCTGGGGATGCGTTGTATTATTGGACGTGCTGTCCTTTGAATGAGATGTTAAAACAAGGTCCCTTCTGCCTGTTCAGATGAACGTTAAAAGATCCCATGGCACTATTCGAAAAAGAAGTTTCTCCCAGTGTCCTGGTCCACAGTCCCCCAAATAAAGTGAGTCATTCACTTTATGGCCATTTGTGGGATATTGTGTGCAAATTGGCTGTTGTGTTCACCTACACAATACACAATCACTATACCTTACAATAAATCCTGTGAAGCACTTTGAAGATGTCCTCTCAATATGAAAGTCACAATATCAATTGCAAGGATTATTAATTTTGTATTATAAATGTCCTTTTAAAAGCTATCGATAACCTTTAGGGCAAAATTCATATCATCTGTGGCTAAATTGATCCCACACCATCGCGTTGTTTGATCAGCCAGCAGAGGGAGACATTGGTTTAAACTCAGAACATTCCTTTACAACTTTCAGCTCTCGAATTGGAGCCACATAATTCTAAAATATTCCTGTTCGGTGTATAATTAAGTTACCGCAACATCTGTACGCTCGTGAGCAGCGTGGCAGCTTCAGGGGAGAATGGAAATGAAATAAGTTTTGTTGCAAAGTCTAGTTTATTTGCAAACGCTGGGTCACTTTACTCCTCGGTTGTCTCAGCCTCAGAGGCAACGTTAAAACCTGGGATACATAGAGAAGACCAGTGTGTGTCAATGTGCTCAGAAACCCAATCTTTCCTGTATTAACATTACATTCTATTAATGAGTTGAATGCAAATAGGTACAGAGTGCAAATGGTTGCATATGTCACGGCACAAACGCAGGTGTCTATGGAGCAGTTGGATGTCACTCTTCACATTCAACCCCCCATCCCAGGGGAAATCTTATGCTAAGCTCTCTCTACGTTCATTTGTAGCTTCAGATACAATATTTAAATTGCCTCGATGTTTTACTGCTAGATGAACAATTAACCCTGATGTGTTTGTTTCATAATGGGGTGCAGACTGGGAAATATACCTCCTAATGAGAAAATAACCATTAAAACGGGAACAGCCTTCTTTCCAAATGAATTGAACAAAGAGGATGAGATTATCTACGAAAAATACACAGTCACTTTACAGTAAATCCTGTGATGCACTTTGGGATGTCTTTCCGATGCGAAAGAAGGATACATCAAATGCACGGATTGCTGTTGAATTGGGGGAGATTTTCTATTTTGAATTGAAGTGCATTAAAGGGCATATCCCTTGGTTGAAGGGCAGGACTGATCTGGAGGTAGAGGCAATGATGGAGTCAATTACACACAACCGCAGTTAAACTGATATATGCTCTCAGACGTGAGCATTTATGTTTGTTCTCCATCCTTTTGTTCTTCAGAATTCAGTGAGTGTAACCCATTACCCAGTTCAGTGCTGAGACTTTGTCAGTCAATACCATTGCATGTTTAGCTATTTATGTCTCTGTCTTTATGATACCCAAGTAGTATCATAAAGTGAAGAGGTTTACTTACTCAATGCTCGCTTTGACTGTGTAGGTTTTTGTTTGTTTGGGGTTTAATATGCGGCAATTTTTAATGGGAAATAAGGAAACTGGAAGCTTGTCGCACCGAGCTATAGAAACTTTGCTCCAACGCAATCTGGAAAGGATTGAGGGTTACAGCTGGTTGCACCCCAATGTACACTCTGGGCTCCTTCCAACATTCACCTATTGCTCGCCAGAATTTGTTGCAAATGCGTTGCACCCATCCGGGGAGAGAGTGTGCATTGCATTCCCAGAGAATTCCAGGCAAATTTCCATGCAGAGTCTGGTTTGGAGACTCTCAAGCACAGTGATGGGTTTCTGCATGAATCAACCATCCGACAGACCAAATTAAAAAAAAATTCCTGGTTTGTGTCATGTGTGTTTGACGTGTCTCTGTTTATCAGAAGACCTCTCCCCCCACCCCCCACCCCATCCCCCCAACTCAAATCCCTTATTAAAATATCACCATCTGTTAGATATGGTTTATAATAATACTTGCATTTGATATAGCACCTTATCACGTCTTCGAGACGCCTCTAAGCGCATCACAGAATATACTGTAGAAGTGAATTGACTGTATATTTCGTGGGCGAAATATATATTTTCGTCTTAGTGTATATTTTATAATTCGACATTTGTTCCACCGGCAATAAAGCGGAAAGAATAGAAAGTTGGGAGTGAAGCACTTGTTTAAAGGAATGGGTTTTGCTGCACTGCCGGGGGTGGGGGCGGTGGGGTGGGGGGGGAATGATACAAGGGCGTGCCTTATAAAACAATTGCTGGGAAACGTAAACACTGCAAAGAATCTCAACATGCTGTTGCAGGCAGTACTTTCCTTTCCAATTTTCAGTCGAGTTGTTTTTGCAAAATATTTTTTTTTTTTACGTGCCAAGATGCAGTGCCACATGCTGAAACCCATCGCTGTGCTCAAGAGTGTCCGATCCAGATAGAGTTCCACATCAGTCATTTCGCCTATGCGTGGGAATTTCTCTGTGTCTGTACTCTCTCCCCGGAGGGATGCACCCTGCTTAGCTAACTCCAGAAAGTGTTTGGTGCAGGTGGGCAAGAGCCAAGGCTTGGGGTGGGGGGGGGGGAGCTCTTATTTTGTTCTAGGAAGGATTTGAAAATCCGCTTGTTAAGACTATTTTGTTTTAAGATGGTTAAAGATTCCGCAGAAGAGCGTAAAATTCTTCAAAGTGATCCTCATTTGGAAGCTCCAGGTTGTGGAAAACTGGCTTCCAAATGAGGAATGGACTTAAGAACTTTTCACAATAGTGTGTGGTCTTAAATTTGAAGACAAAATAGGCTAAGCGGGGGTGAGATTTCAGGCCTTGCACGGCTAAATATTTTAGAAGGGGAGATTTGCTGGGTTATCCTTTGGGCGTACAGCAATTTTTTGATGATGAGAGACTTCTTAAATGATTGCAAAGGATAATAAAGATTTACAGATAACTGAAAACAAAGGGGAGCTCAATTACGGACAGAGGTTTTTCATTATCTTTCTCCTCTAAGCGTGTTCATTGAATTCGGGCAGTGATTTGCGATTGTTCAGCTTGGTTGTGTTATTCATGGTTGGATATGGTTGACAATGGCTCTGTGTGTAGACATGACACTTATGTCCTGGGATGGACTGGGATCTTTTTATTCATACTCCAAAGGATTTATGCAGAAATCAATCCCCTGCTCTCAACCCAGAACCGTTCTTCGCAGCGGGAGTTCAATAATGTACATTCCTCAATCTTAACCTTCTTGTCACCCGGGAGCTGTGCTTTGTGCATTCATTTGTGAATTTGCACTTACTATAAAAAATGTATATTGCTCCCAACACAATAGATGCTGTGATCACTGTCGGGCTGTAAAAGCTTGCTTTTGGGTTAATACTAACTGCTGTGAAATCCTTACCTTCTACAGATCTTTATAATGGTAAGAATAATCCTTACATTTGATACCGTGCCTTTCACTTCAGGAGGATGTCTCAAAGTGCTTCATAATGTAAAAGTGGAGGGAGTGGTGTGTTTTACGGATGATCTTATTATGCACGAGAAGTACGTGGATATAATAGCAATTACGCCACTCATTTTACGCAAAATTTGAAGTGTCAATTGGGGACGCGTAGGAGAAAATATGAAATCTTAATTGTAAGCAGTCTAGCCCCCGTCCCTGCTTTCCGTAACCTTCCTGCCTCGGTACACATTTCTCGCTTTGGCTGGGAGAATAAAGAGGTTATCGGCTCTAAAAACATGTGCGTGATCAACATCAATTCTGCTCACTGACTAGTCAAACTGAGGTGTATGTGCAAGATCCTGCACGCCTGCCCTCAGGTGCAATGCACATATATCATAATGTCCTCCACCCAGTCAACAGGATGGGAACTGTCAAGGCTCATCAGAGTAATGGGGATAGATTAGAATGCCAAGAAATTATACAGCAAGAGCCTGCCAAGTCCTGAATTATAAAGTGAACATTCTCACCCTCTTCTAATACTTAATCGCGACTCTGTCTTCGTAAAAACACCATCGTCCCATAATTCTAAAGCTAAGTAACTCCCGTAACGTGTTGCAGTTTTATTTTTAATTGCAGTCTCTTGCGTTCAGGGACTCTGCCGTGCGCAATTGGCTGCCGCGTTTCGCCTGCAAAATATACAGTCAATTCACTTTACGGAATATTCTGTGAAGCATTTGAGGCGTCTCGAAGGCGCTGTATCAAATGCAAGGATTATTATTTGGTTGGTTAAAAATGGGAGCGTTGGAAGTCTGAAACCAAACCCAAAAAGCTGAAAACAATTGGGAATGCACAGCAGGCAGATCAGTCTCTGAAAGAAAATAATACTAATTATAATCCTTGCATTTGATATAGCGCTTTTCACGTTTTCTAGACGTCTCAAAGCGCTTCACAGAATACGCTGTAAAGTGAATTGATTGTATATTTGTGGGCGAAACGCGGCAGCCAATTGCTCACAGCAGCGTCCCACAAACAGTCGTGGATTGAAGTGGAAGTGACCAATTTATTATTTTTTTTAATGAGGGATTATTGTCAGGCGTGTGGAGTAAGGAAACTTGTCCAAAGTTTCACTCTGCTGGGAATCGAACCCAGGTCTCTTGCTTGTGAGGCGAGTGCTCTAACCGCTGAGCTACAGGACTCCCCAAAACAAACAAGCAAACGCAGATAAACGTCTACAGAGAGAGCTGGGAAAACTCAGCAGGTCAGGCAGCATCTACGGAGAAAGGAAAGTGAGTCAACGTTTCGGGTCCACGACCCTTCGTCAGAACTGGGGCATGTTGAGACGGAGAGGTTTTTAAGGACAAGTGGAGAGGAGGCGGGAGGAAGCAGGACAAGGACGACAAAGAAGACAAAAAGGAAAGAGAGAAGACAAAGGAGAGAATGTGAAATCAATCCTTGTTTGGAAATGATCCTGAACTAAGGAAACGAAAGGATAAGTATTACAATTAAAAGTTTTTTTAAAAAATTTTATCCAATGTATTTTGCAAGGGCTCTGGGACGCTATCCTGGATGAGTAGCGCTACATAAACGCAAGCTGCTGTTTGCTGTTGTTTCAGCCAAATGCAGCTTCCAAGATTATGTGTTGGAAACGTTGAATCACGTTTGGGTGCCGTGTTCGTCGGGAGGCTCCTGCTACATTTTTGTCGCGCGCTCGTGCCTTGCGGTTTGGTTACTTTTCTGGTGCGGCTTTCGTTCGTTTCCCGGAGCTGACGGTTGGGCCGAGCCTTCGTTCTGCCGGTGTTGAGGGGACGGACGAGTTTGTTCCATGTCTCATGTGCTTCACCCCACTGAAATCTGGTTGGTTTATGTCACAGACTCCGGTGGAATGAAGGACAGCAGAAAGCATGGATGTCATCAGTGCATCAATAAGGCAATACTGGCTGCTGTTTGGCCTTACACCATCGCTCTTCCTTTCACTAGAAAAGCTTGGCCACGTTCTCAAAAGCTACACTGAGTCATGCCCCTAACGTTGAAATATGGAGCAATGATGATAAACTATTTGTAATTGAAAGCGTATTTGTTTCATGTCTTTTTTTTTAAAGTATGTCAACAAATTCCTTTTTTTTTGTGATTCACCTAAAATTTCAGCCGTCCAAAAATTGTCGAGCTTAAGTCAAACTTTTTAGTTTGAATTTATAGCTAGAGACATTTTGGGGGCACTTTGTAATGGTCCTTTTTTTTTTGCGTTTAACTGATCTTAAAGTCTGGGATGGAAGCCTTTACCAATGTCAAGCCCTTTATCTTTTATACAAGGGCTACGAGTCTAATGCATTCATTGGCACAGGGCCGTTGTATGGGACTGTCTTGTTTCAGCGGTGACGTCAAAAAGATGTCCCACTGTATAATAGCATTGACTCACTGAGGGTGTACATTCTCACAATCACAATCGCAATGGTCAAATCCCATTTCAGCTGCGCAGGAACAACTAAATCCCTTTTGCTCGGTCGTTCGGTTATATTCTGCATCTACATTAGCGCTTTCAATTTGTTTTTATTTACTCTGCATTTTTCCCCCTTTTAAAGAAATGAAAGTGGGTCGGTTTGAGCCTATGGAGTTGAACTCAAACCATCTCTGTCCACGATCTGACTTTTGGACATATGGTCCAAGCAGGATGAGCTATTTTCCTCCCCAACCGATTGTAATGGAATGTTTTGGTTCATTAGAGAGCTTTCACCCCAGCTGAGAACAGTCATACTTCTGTACATCAGTCTGACTTGAAGACAGCCTGGGGGTGGGGGGAATCTTAAACCCATCTTAGTTCTGTAAGAAATTCAATGCCACATATGACTCTGCCGTCTGTCATTCTACTCCATTAAGAGATAAAGTGCAGTGAATGTTCTCAGTAAATCACTGTAGTCATTTTTTTAAACAAAATGAGCATCAAACCTTAGCAATTCTGTGTCATTGAAAGTTTGGATTCAACACGGCAGTTCAGTGGAGGGAGGGGAGGGTTAAACCACATTTTTGGAAACGTATTTAATTTGCAAAGCGATTAATTTTTTTTTGAAGATCCAGTCTTACCTTCCTCCTAACCTGTATCCCTGGCTGCAGCCCTCTTTCTCTCCTCCCCCACAAACTCCCTTAAAAGAATTCAACGATTGTAAACTGGGATATCTTAGCTTAGATTCACGTCTGAACTATATTTAATGGGAATGTTTTCAGCGCATTCCAATCTCAAGAGTGAGCCAGGGACTTGGTGCTTGGTGATGACTGGTTCCAGCACTTGGCACATCTGGAAGGTGATAGAGAATAAGAAAGGGGAAAGAATTAGTTTTGAAACATGCAATACCTTAACAGCCGCTGCACGACTTAATCCTTAAAGGTTAATGCCTTACAATGAGCTCTTTAGCTATGAATGTTACATTTGCCTTGCAAATAATCCTGCGTAACTCCGAGTGGAGGAGGGGAGCTAGATGGAATGATTGAATGCTAAATTGGGGACCATAGGAAATTCATGAATATGGCCAGCAGTTTATTTTCATCTCAAATTTTGCAGCTGATGAGAGTTAACGGTAACGCTTGAGTTTGATACAGCATCTTATCAGGTCCTTAAAATCTGTATAACATGGCTGCAGATTCAAACATTGAAATATAATTTCTCTTTTCCAGCAAATTATTCCAGCCACAAATAATACTCCCATTTACTTTATATTCGTTGTGCGTTGTTACAAACTACCCTCTTATTTAATATTCTCCGTACAAACAGTGTGACTATCAGTCTGGAAGTGAATGCGGATTGCAATTTGAGGGTTAAATTCGAACAGCGCTGATGCAACTTGTCTGAACACCTCATACCCATCAATGACTACACAGATCTTTGCAATAACAGCTAATTCCTTATGGGGGGGCGGAAAAAAAATGGGCTGCCAGGGATCTTTGGGTGAGGAGAGGTCTGAAAGCAGGTTTGCTGCAGAAAGATCCACACCTTCCACACAATGAGCTGACAGGTATGAATTTTTCAGGCTGTTTCAGACTTGTCAAACATACCTCCCTTTCGCAAGCTGCAACAGGTTCCCTCTAAACACAAAACAGCCTTTGTTCAATAGTCTGATTGCTTTAACCATTTAGTAAGCAAATTTCCAGGCCCCACTGATTCCTTTAATGCTTCCTTTAAGTGCCCCTGGTCCCAAATCACGCCCCGAAAAGGGATAATCTCAAAGAGTAGTAAAAAAAAACCCGAAGGAGACAAAACCTGCCTCTACAAGACTTTCTGATACTTTTCTCTCTCACTTTCGCCAGCCGACAATTGCCAAGAGAAAAAAAATTAAGCATTCACTTCACAGCTGTTTGTTGCTATGAGATGCAGTCGCTGTGCGCAAATTGACTGTTGCGTTCACCTACAAAATACGCAGTCACTACACTTCACAGTCAATGCTGTGAAATGCTTTGATAAGTTTCGACAACGTGCTAAGGAACTTAATATCAAATGTAAGGCTGCTTATTATTTCTCAATCTGATATTGTGTTGGCTTTGAATTTTGTGTCTTGCAACCGAATTCACTTTGGACTTTTGAAAGATTCAGAAATATTCACTACATCTATTGGAGGGTGGTCAGAGGAATAGGTTTGAACAAAACTCTCTCCCACCCCACTCCCCCAACGCTTTCCTCCTTTCTTTTTTCCCCACTGTGGGAAATGCAATGCAATTGCAGAAATGTGGTTAGGTTATAAAAGTTCTTCGGTTGCAAAGTTAAAAATAAAAGCTTTAGCCTGATCCTAAACTTCTTTAAAAAAAAGAAACAGTTTTTTTTAACAAAACATAGTTCCCAAAACGTTCTGATTTGATTGATGATCCTAACTTAACAAAAGACAGATTTGGCTGGTAATTCCTACCCCTGACACACTTGTGAAATATAGACTGTTACTTGATTGAAGGCGGCTTGAGTGCAAAAGATCGGCCCAGCTACAAGCTACATATCTGTCTTTTATTGCATATGTTGAAAGATAATTTTTTTAAAAAATAAGTACATTGACTCAGTTAACTTTGAACGAAACTTGACTCTCACTCTCTTTGTCTAAAGGAAAAGAACGAAGGTTGCAGTGAACTGGAGAAGGGGGCATGTAAAACAATCTATTGTGAATTGTTTTTAGTCCAGATAACTTGTAATGGATCTGCACAAACAGCCGAGTCTTCAGACACTCCTTCACCCATCCCACACAATCTCACTGATCACGAGCACTGTCCAGTAGCTGCTATAAAATTGCTCCCACCAGAATCTGGGTATGAAGGGTTCAGCCTCTCAATTGGGGCAAGATGCAGATTAAAGCTAAACAGGTGGAACAACAACAACAACTTGCATTTATATATCATCCATCACCCAGGATAGTGTCCCAGAGCGCTTGAACAATTACGTACAAAATAAGCAGTAAGAAATGATATCCACTGGTTGTTTTCCATCTTACACCATCATAGTGGTTGCCCTTCTGTTATGGGGAGGTGGGGGTGGGGGGGCTGTAATTATCATTACTAAACTGCAGTGAAACTTTTTCTGTTTTTCTGCGACAAGCAAATTACTGTTATAAAACTTGCAACAACTCACCAGGTTCCTCCCAGGTTGGTGTGACCAGATCGGAGCAATCAGTTTGCCATAACTCAAGTGAAGCTACTTGTGTTTACTGAGCTGTAAAGAGGTGTTCACACACAAATAGGGGAAAGCTACATCGAGGCAGAGTGAGCAAGTGTCGAAGAAAGACAAACGAGTGCGAAGAAGATAGAGAGAGAGAGAGAGAGAGAAAATGAAGAGAAATATTAGGAGAGGAAAAAGCACTTGAAAAGACTAAGGGTCATTGGAGAAAGTAATGATGATAATTTTTTGACAGGGAAAGAGAATAAGAGTGTGAGATGTATTGGAGCTGGAATGTTAAAAGGGGGGAAAAAAGGAGGGTATATTTTTTTTACACACCAAGAGAGAGTTTAAAGTCGGAGAGAAGGTAAAAGAGAGGTGCAGAGAGGTAGCTTGAGATGACCAGGTTCATACTGAGATCCGAGCCCTTATCTACCTGCCTCAACGCATGTGCTGTCAGACAGTCTCGCAGGACAGTCCAATAAACATCAACTGTTCTGACTCTACTCCGCCTCTGTTGTGACATGCAATGTGTTTTATGCTTCAAGGGGAGTCTTCAGTTCTCAGAAACTGACACCTGGTTTCGCCCAGGCAGATGTGACCAACAGAATGTTTAACCCTGCGATACGTCCTGAGCACTTTTGCAGACTGACTGAAGTGAGAAAGTAATGCTGACTTTCTCCACAAAGTCGTAGAGATTTGATAGAAACGTGTGCGCTCGCCCTGCGCAGCAAAATATTCCTCTCTCGTTGCTGGAAATCGGGCCGAATGCGCTTTGCCACACAGCCGCGGTGAAATTTTACCATTAGTAACGGGTCTCAAGCTGAACCCGTGCGCTTTTGTGGTGCTGTTTGTAACGTTAATTTCTCGCGACGATTTACAGGCGATTATTTTCAAAGTTGCACTTTATGCCTTTGTCATAAGGCGCTCCGAAATGCCGTCCGGCGCAAAGGCCGCTATATAATTCCTTATAATAATAATAAATTGGTCGCTTCAATCCACGACTGTTTGTGGGACGCTGCTGTGCGCAATCGGCTGCCGTGTTTCGCCCACAAAATACGCAGTCAATTCACTTCACAGTATATTCCGTGAAGCGCTTTGAGATATCTTGAAGATGTGATAAAGCGCTGTATCGAATGCAAGGATTGGTATAAATGCAAGTTGTAAGTTGGAACAAAGTTCTTTCCTCGACTGACTTTACCATCCTCTTCTCTGATGACAGTGTGATTGTAAACAGAGCGATTGAGAAGGCAAAGTGCTATCAGGGCCTTCACTAAAGCTGTTCTGTCTGAGTCAACCATTGGTAATACACAGCCAAACAACGTGAATGTTAACTCCATCTCTCTCTCTCCATTTGTCCTTCCCCAGTGGTGGGTGGTGAGGTGTCTGACCTCTACAATGGCACTTCCCCACAGAGATTGGGCTGAGATCAGGAATTCACTGTGCGAACAGATCGTTTCTTCTTCCATCAGATGTCCTAATGAGCTGCCTGCACCTCATCCCAAAATAGACTACTTAATAAATGCGTATTTGTTACAATGCGGCTGTAAATCTTTTAACATTCACTCTCACAGCAATATAGTGACAGACAGCCCTTGGTTGGAGATTAGTCTAACATAAGTAGCAAGAGGTAAAATGCTGTCCTGAACCAATCAACGAAATCTAATTCACAGAAATGCTAAAGCTATGTTCTGTGGACCGTTAGGTGGAAGATTTAAAGGTAATTCCTCGCGTTCTGGTGGATTACTATCTGCGAGTGTGAAGGGATGTAGATCAGGCTCAGCGAGAACCTGCCACTGACTGTGCAATGATGGGTAGAAATTTCACCTGGTCTAGATTTATTCTATTTATGTAGCATTTTGGAGGCTCCAGAATTTGGCAAATTCTTAAATACAGACCAGCCCTAATTTTGATGCTCTTTCTCTGTACGTTTCAGGAATCAGCTTACCTTAAGGAACAAAGTCCTGCTAAGTTTCTTTTTAAGAAGTAGAGAAAACTCATTTTCAAAGTTAAGGCTGAATTCGACCATTTGCCCAAATCTGGACTCTCGAAAATGCAATTGGGAACAGAGTAACTCTAGATCCTGGTGAAATGTCTATGAGTTTCCAATCATAAACCAAGTGCTCAGAAACAATAATAATAATCCTTGCATTTGGTATAGCGTCTTATTGTGTCGTTGGGACGTCTCAATGCGCTTCACAGAATATACTGCAAAATGAATTGATTGTATAATTTGTGGGAGAAATGCAGAAGTTAGTTGCACACAGCAGTGTCCCACACACAGTCGTGGATCGAGGGACCAGATCATTATTTTTTTTAGGGGATTATTACTCCCGGTTAGCCGTCTGCCAATCGACTAACCGGGTTCCTGCTTACTGCTAGATAAGCAGAGGTGTGTGTAGTAAGGAAACATGCCTAAGGGTTTGCCCTGCCTAGGAATCGAACCTGGGTCCTTTCGTTTGCAAGGCGAGTGCTCTAACCAATACACTACAGGACTCCACAGAAAGAAGCATCAGGGGGGTGGGAGTAAGGAGGAAAAGTGGTTCCTCATGGGATAGAAACATAATGGGCGAATCCAATCATCCTAAGCTCACCAATCTTTTAGCAACTGATTGAAAGGGGACGTAGCAGAGTCCAATGTTTCATAACCATTTGCAACAGCAGTTACATACTTTGGTCGATGCTTTCAATCATTCAGAGCCTTATTAATGCTCGAACCATAATCAGTTTAACACTGCTGAAAAAGGCTAAAGAGATAGCTTGGACACTATGATTAGAATAACTTGAAAACAGTTCTCAGAATTACTCTGCATTGCTGCCGGCACTAGGTTTGAGTTGACAAAGCTATTTCGTAATGTCACCCTGTCTTTTAACAACCGAGAGATGTTATATAATTGGCCCAAAGGCTCTTATTGACGGAGAATTGTGTTAAATAGGTCGGAGCAGACAAAGCATCTGTTTAGAACTGGAATGGTTAAACAAGTACGAAATAAGTAGCAAATTGCACTAATTGCAATGTTGTAAATATAATGTGAGGGGAAATGGAATTATAATAAGAGCATCCTTACATTATGTCCTCCAATGGCTTTTTATTCCATTTTACTAGATTTTGTATGGCACAATATGAATCGACCCAATTATATCTGTCATTACACACATACGTGAAGCAATGCATTCCGAATAATGCAGTTTGGGAGCTTTAATTTCTGGTGAGTTCTATTTACATAGTCACGCCCGCACAAATAAAAGAAAGTTACAGGACAGGAAACCTGGCTTCATAATTAAAAGTCTGTGTTGAAGAGTTTGACAAATCCTGGAGGGTCCGAAACACGGTCTTAATAGAGTAAATCGAAACCCAGTTGGAATTTCAACGCATTATTATTTTACGAGATAACTTGGCTATTTGCATTTTAGATGAATTTTGGATGTGCCTCAGGGCTTCGTAAGATATAGTACTGTCATATCTTAACAGGGATCAGCTAAGCCCTTAGTTTGCATTTCTTACATGTCTCTCAAAGGAAAGAAACACAAAAGCAGGTGAAATTCATATATGGCCCGAAACGTGACTGCTGGCTCTGAATTTGGTTGATTCACACCATCAAGTGATTTAGAATTAAACAAGATCACTGAGCCACTTATTCAGTAATTATAATGTTACTCATATCCCAGCCCCAGAATACGATTTCAGGCATGAATCTCCCAAATGTGCTTGATTGCATTGGATTGGATTAATTGGCTGCTTTTCACACTCTGCAAACCTAGATAGGAACAAATTCACAACATTATAATAATAATAAAAAATCCTCACATTTGATAAAGCGCCTCTCACGTCAGAAGGGCGTCTCAAAACCCAAGGCAGGACTTACCGTAAAGTGTAGCCCACACAAACAGCCGTGACGTGAATGACCTCAGCTTTTTGGAGCGTAACTAAATATGCCAAATAGTTCTTTTCAGCTTTTTATTTTTTTTAGATGACTTTTTTTATTTGCACAATTGTTTCTCATCTTTGCCAGATAATTCAAGACATTATGCGCGCGTATAATGCTAGTGGATGAGAGTGCGTCAGAAATAAGGCAGAGTTTCTTGTACGGGCATCCTTAAAATTACAATACAGTCATGGATTGTTCAGATAAACGTGTTATAACAATGCCTTTTCACTTGTGGAACCTGGGTTTAGACTGAAGTCAGCTTCTCTCCGACTGCTATCAGGGGTTTTAAGTGAAAGGAGCCTTGAATGGATTATATGACATTGACCTGAAAGTCGGTATTAAGTACCACATTCTTGTCGAAATAGTTCACGAGAGGAGAGGGAGTGTAGGAAATTTAAAAAAAGAAGTTGCATTTGTATATTTGCAAGTGATCTTATGGGTTTCTCGTTCCCTTCAAATGATCTCAATCAGGGAAATACCTAACAGGGAGCCAAATCCCTCTCAGGAGATAACAGGGACAGTTTAAAATAAATCACTTTGCTCGTGAGTTATTTTAATTGCTGTTTTATTGTTACCTGATTAGTTTCTTTTTTTTTGACTAAGCTGCTTCAGATATTTTTTTGTCGTGTAGCATGACATACTACACCAGATAAATGTTGTGTTTCCATTGAAGTTTGTTTGAATAATTCCACTCATTTCCAACCATTTGCCTCAGCCAGCATAATAGAAAAGAGAGGAGTATTTTCCTGATCAACATCCCAACTGTACTGAGCTTCCTCTTGCCATCTAAAAGATTGTTACAATAATGACAGTGACAGTTCTCATTTAATCTCATCCTTAAAAACAACCCATTCTTTTCGCCCACAAAATACGCAGTCAATTCAATTTACAGTATATTCTGTGAAATGCTCTGAGATGTCTCAACGAAATAATAAGGCGTTATATCAAATGCAAGGATTATTATTATTATTACTGTCTTCCCGTGAGAGCATCAAACTGTTTCTTGAACCTATGTTGTTTGTATTATCATTATTTCAAGTTGACTAGTCGTTCGTTAAACTGTTTTTACAGTGCATAATATTGGCTATCTAGGGGTGAAAGTCGCTCAAGAAAAAAACTTGGTCACTTAAACACGACTGTTTACGGGACACTGCTGTGCGCCATTGGCTGCCAGTGATATATTCTGTGAAGCGCTTTGAGACGTCTCAAAGACGAGATAAGGCGCTATATCAAATGCAAGGATTATTATTATTGTGGTAGCAAAGAGGAGAAATTCTCTTTCTCTTGGACATGACAGGAATTAAAGACGTGCGAGTTCAGTAAAACGTGCATTAACTATCTCCAATAATAAAGAGCATCAACGGAAGCTTTTCCATCAGGCCGCAGATGTGTCCTAACCCGCATTTTTTTCCCAGGAATGTCTTATCTATCATTACGTTGCCGACAATGTGTCTGTGTTCAGCTATGCT